TATTTTGAGTTAAACAAGAATTCGACATTCACATGATTTTCACATATAAACATTTAAGGACCTGCAAAATTGATATTACTTAATCAAATAAAATAGTAAAATTTGTTTATTAAACAGTTTAAAAAAAATAATATAAAATAAGATTTGAAATTGAAATTTGTTTAATTTTTGCTTTTATACTGTATAAGATTTTAATACAGTATAATACGTTGCCACAAATAGAACCAATAAAATATTCTCTACAATTTTAACTAACTTTAAATTAGAAGCTCAAAAAGTAGTCATAACGATAAGAAGTAAGTAACTTAACATTAATATAAATTAGCTCACATGATTTAATTGGTTACATCTCTAATCACAGAAGTGCATTAATAACAATAGATAAGACATACGCAGTATTTTAACTGCTAAATTTTTTATTTCTGTATTATAATAATATACTTTTTAAATTGTCGAAATGCATCATGAAACGGAATCTCAGGTTGGAAGTAGTATTATTCACAATTTTACTTGGATTATACCGAATTTCAAAAAAATAGAAGCACTAGCTCCAAGGCCTCAATGTTTTCATAGTCCTCAGTGGACTTGCAACATATGTGTATTCGATGACAACGGATGTTCTTATATACCTTTAAACTGGAGATTAAAATTCCATCCTAACGGTAATAGTGAAAGTTCCCAAAACAGCATCAGTTGCTATCTAGAAACCATATTTCCGAATGACGCACAACCTTCTTCACGAATCAATGTAAATTTTTATATTGGTTTTTATGTTCCTGTCCAACAAGGAGAAAGCCGGATCTTAAAATTAGTAAAACGTCGTAGGTAAGTCAGTTAAAATAAAAGTCTAATCGTTTTGATCCATATCTTTATGGAGCAATTTTAGAATAATTTAAATTCTTACGTTACAGTGAAAGACATGAATTTTTAAAGGTAAAACCGGCTTGGGGATGGCCAAGTTTTTGTTCAAAAACAGTTCTAAACTGTGAAGGGAATAACAATGCTAATAATACTGAAGAACCTGAGATACTATTACCGGAAATGCTTCAGCAGACAGGAAATGTTTTGGAGGATGATACTCTTGTTGTTCATGTTGTGATAATCACACCGAATCCAGGCGGAATGCCAGAGGAATTAGAGGAATCAATGGCACGATTATCATTAAATTCACGGACAGCTTTGACGGCGTTTTCACAGACTTTAAATACACCAAATTTCAGTGACATCAAATTCTTAGTTGAAGGACGAACAATTCTTGCACATCAGGTTATATTAGCAGAAAGATCTCACTATTTCAAAACATTAATAAAGAATGACTGGACACAAGAAATCAAAGAATCGAAGCCAGTGCGTATTCATGATGTAGATTATAACACTTTTTATTATGTTCTGCATTACTTGTATTCCGGTACTTTACTGGAAATTACGGGTGATACGGTTTTCGTCAAGATTGCACAGCTTCGAAAAATATTTATCGATGCGGAAATGCGTAAACCGCTCGAAGTGGACGCTGTGCATGAGCTTGTTGAAGTTGTCATTTCAGAATTAATTAGTTTGATAAATATGAACACTTGGGATAATTTACTTTTATTTGCTTGGGAACGTGATCTTGGGCGTTTACGGAAAGCTGTTTGCCGGTTTGCGAAACGAAACTGGATTGAGCTTCGCGAAAGTGAATCCTTCAAGAATATACTACGCGATGCAAACGTTGATGTGGTAGAAGATCTCATTACATCAGTCAAGATATGAATACTGCTATAATATTTGAAATTTTGACTGTAGGGAATGTGTTTAATTATACCAGATATTCTTGTAGCAGAATTTACTGTATACGAGGTCAAATGGATATTTTTTTTTCATAATGTACATTATCAATATTGTGACTACGTTAATTTTTTTTTTTTTTTGTCATTAATTTTTTAAATGGCTTTTTTTTTTTTTTTTTTTTTTTTTTTTTTTTT